GAAAAATGTCACCGATCATTTTTTACGTTGGATATTGGAGGGTCAGACGTTTAAAGGGTGACGTTAAAAGTCTTTTTGTGTACTAGTGATTTAAGTGCGAGTTTGAGTTTCATACAATATAAAAATATAAAGTTAAATAATATATAAAAAAGAATATTTATAAACTTAAATGTCTTGCATATTTAGATTGGATTTATGTGTGTTGTAAAATGTTAACAAAAATTACAAATAAAATATTTCAAAACATATAAATATATTGTTTTTAAAGATTTATTGTATGTTATGCAAACTTCCTAAAATATAATAGGAATTTCTAAAAAAAAAAGTAAGATATTAAAACTAGCAAAAACTTTAAAAATAATAAAAACATAAATCCAAAATATTATAAAAAATAAATAAAAACAAGAAGAGAATAAGCGAACTATTGATAGATTAAAAAGGTCAACTAGAATGTAAAATGAGTGACTTGCTAAGGAGCACTTTGTCCTCCCATTCATAGTGCATGATAATGAACTCAAATTTAATGTACCTTTAAAATTTAGGCCACTTGCTCCTTTATTCAGGACCCACTCTACTTCTTCCCTTTAGCTGGCATTGCTATTTATTGCTACTTTAGTTAGATTACTTCTTTATTGCCACTTTAGTTTATTGAATTCATATTTTATAGTTAAAGAAATGTAATTAATTTTACATGATAAAATTTGTGAACTATAGAAGTATATAACTTCCATTTTATATATAAATAGCACATTTCTTTTTCAGATAAAATACTTCCTTTTTAGCATGGGTTTGTTCTTCAACTTGATTTCATTTATTTATTTGATTTTGATTTGTGAATTTAAAGCAGACAATAATTTTGCAGAGCGTTGAATTGATGCATGGTTTACCATGCTCCACGTGCACATATCTATCAAACTAAACTATATTCCAGGTGCTTAGAACATTACTTCTTCTGCAAATTAAATTAATTGATTTTTATCCAAAATTAAGATATTCATTTAGTTTTACATTTTTAATCCGATTTAGTGAAAACAAATTAATTCAATCGTTTTGGGTGAAAAAACTATTTTAAAATATCTTTATACTGCATCAAACAGTGTTTCACCCAACATATATGTAAAAGACAATGATTTTATAAATATAGTTAAAAATTTCCAAAGACCATATGTTTCGACTGGATCCGGGTGGACCCTGTTAAAACATACGAAAGATCACGAACGGTGAAGGCTGTCGAACGAACGACACAGCTGCTACGGATTTGGCGGACGCCTTTTCTCCAGGACGCTTTCTCTCCAGCTGGTGCAGACCGGGCGGACGGTACAATGACGGACGAACGCTGTTGAAGACCGGACGGTCGAACGCGAACAATACCGGCTGGTGAACGCTTTCTCCGTCAATGCGGAGCGAGAGGCTGCTAACGGACGTCCTCCTTCTCCTGGCGCTGCTCCACGCTCTAAGTTGGACGGGCGTCCTTCCTCTACTGGCGCTGCTCCACACTCCTAGTTGGGGAGGGGCCGGATACCTGCTAAAGGCACTCCGACGCTCAAGTCAGTAATATGACAGAGCGTTATATAATGCATGCATGTGTTGCGTTCTAAGCAATCTGGCCAGAACTCATACCTGAGACCTTTATTTATACTGATTGTAATGGGCTTTTACATTTTGGAGGCCTGGAAACAGCCCAATAATACCTTAATCTTCATTAAGGACTTTAATGTGCCATTTAGCTTTTAACAATGTTATCAACTGAGTGCGGATCGTTTGGGAAGGCGTTCAGTCTAAGGATGATTGGACGCTCGATCCTAATTGGTAGGCGGACGTCCAATCTTGGGTGGACGTCCGGTTCCCGAATGGGTGGACGCTCGTTAGACGCTCGGTCCGGACTCTTGGGCGGACGAGCCACCTTGGGTGGACGTCCTTGGACGGACGTCCGGTTCTTGAGGACGTTCGGTCCAGATTGTTTGGCGGACGTGCCACCTTGGGCGGACGTCCGGTTCTGGAATGTCTGGACGCTCGATCCAGATTATTGGGCGGACATGCCAACCTTGGGCGGACGTCCTAAATGATTGGTCGCTCGTTCGGTCCAGATTCTTGGGCGGACGTGCAACCTTTGGCGGTCGTCCGGTTTTGAGCGGACGACATTATATCAACCGTTCGCTCGGTCTATGCTGGGAGGACCTATCAGTACACCATACTTTTTATAGATGTATTTTAAAAATTACCACATTTTTTTTAAAACAATGATTATTTATAGCACACTTTTGAAAATGTTGCCTTCAAAGTATGTAACCAAAACAATAAAAATGTTGCCTCATATTTACACATAACATTTAATTAAGATAACATTACATAAAAATAGTTATAATTTTTTTACATGTATTTGTAAAAAGAATAGTATGTTAGGAGACACATATCATAATCAGTTATAAAAAGAAAGTAAATACATAATAAATAATTTATCAGGATTACTCTGGTATATCTTTGTTGACATTAATAAAAGTATTAAGAAAACTTTCTTATGCTACAATTTAAACCATTTAGGTAAAAATTTCAAGTTGTTTTGTTAAAGAGAACAAAATAAATTGAATTTAATAGATATATAGTTCAGTTGACAGTACCATATCATGTGGGGAATACCTAAACCTAGAGGAACAATGAACTTCAAATATCACCAAGTCCTGAATAGTAAATTTAAATCTAAGTTGAGAAATTCATTATTAAAAGTTATTTTAATATTAAGAATGTAATCCTAATAAATTAAACCTAAAAATATATTTCAATTTAAAAAAATCACTATAACATATAATATATATATTCGATGAGTCACGTATCAAACTATCAGTTATAATTTAGATTATCTAACAAATTATCAATGAACCTATTTGACTAGTGAGTGTCATAAATTAAGATTAATATTATCAATTTAAAAATAAAATATAATTACATACAATTAAGTCATAATTATGTCAATATTAATAAAAACTTATTTAAAATTTTTAAATAAAGATTTTAGATAAAATAACAAATTATGTATATTTACTGTCCCATTTATTACTAATTATAAAAAATTAAGGTAATTTTGACATTGAAATATTTTTTGCAAATATCCTTCCATAAGTTTGGATGAACGGTAACACTTAAACTTACAAAAAATATTTGAACTTTTGACAATACAATTAACATGACTATCTAACAGAAAGAGATATCATTTGCAGCAACCAAGTTACTAAATTCAGATTAATTAATAATAAAATTTAATTAAAATATTTGAATAGATAATATCAAACAAGTGGAATATTCTATTTGTACGTCGTGGAAAAAAGTGTGGAAAACTAAATTACTTTGAAGATTTTAACAAGATCTTTATGTAGAAGTGAAATAATATCTTTAGAAAGGGTTCATTTTGTCTGTGTTAAATGGGACACTTCAATGAAGTTATGAATTTTATAGTTGAATATGTTGAAGGAAGGGTAACAGCATAAAGCAATATCTGTTTCAGAAATGTGAAAGCATGGTGTCCCACTCTGTTCATCATGCTCACACGTTAATATAACCAAAATTATTATCTGTTTTGTTCATTAAGAAAGAAAGAAAAATAATAATAAAAAAAGGTTTTTATTTTACTTTTTTTAAGGTCATGGTAAAAGATTAATCTCTTCTTCAGTGTTATTCAATCTTCATTTACAAAACTTGTTCTTTGAATAGTTTCTTTTACTATTCACCTTAGAAATTTCTGCAAGGTAACACATTTCTGGGTTTTTTCAAGGTTTACAAATATGAATAACAAAGAAGAATATTAATAAAAGTAATTAAAAGGCTTAAATGATTACTTCGTTCTTATGTTAAGAGGTGAATTTCTGTTTAGTATCCGGTTTTAAAAATGAAGACATTGAGTCTCTATGTTATGAAAAGTGTATGAATAATGTTCTTTTCTCAGTTTTTTCAATCTTATGTTCAGCTTTTTCTTTGATGATTTCTTGAACTTGTTCTTTTCTTGTGAACCTTATTCATATATTTTTTATAACATAGAGACTTAATGTCTTCGTTTTTAAAACCAGACAGAAAAATGAAAACGAAATAAGCATTTAAGTCTAATTGAAAATTTGTATATTTCAAAATTTCATGAATTGACTACCTTCTGAATAATTAAATATTATTAAAATTATATGTATACTACCTCCATTCCTATCTTTAAAGTATCTATTTATAGTAAAATATTTGCTAAACCTATTAATCTCTTTATATAATTTATTTTTATATAATTTATTTTGATCTGTCTTTCATATTAATAGTTTTTGACTGTTCTTTTTTCTTGTAGTCAACAAACTATAAATTTTAATTAACAAGGTAAACCCAATTTCTCTTATAATTAGAAAGAAATAGAAAACCATTAATTAATTGAATGGAAAATAATTATTCAAACAGTCTCTTATATTAATTACATTTACCAAAATATTTTTAAACGTTTAGAATTTGTATAGTCAATAGACAAAAAAATAAATATAATTAATAAGATAAACTCCACATTCCTTTTAAGAAAAAGAAAACCACCTACACTAATTAATGAATTGAAAGAGAAAATTGTAAATTATATAGATTATTAATAAATTTAATATTACTGACAATATTAATCAAACTATTAATTTTATAAATCCTATATCAGTAACAAGAGCTGCAAGATGGGTGAAAATAAATGTGAACTCAGTAAAACAAACAAAAAGAAGAGAAAGCAAACACAAAAACCAGTAATTTATATCATGCTATAGATATTATTATATGAAAGCATATATATTAACTATATTTAGTATATATTTTTATTATTTTATCTTTTAATAAACAATAAATGTATTTTTTATAACTAATATCTAATTAAATAGTTTTGTTTTTTAATAAGTTATTTTATTTAATAAAATAGATAATTTTTATCCAATAATAATAATAATAATATTATTGAGTTTTGCACGACACCAATTGGACTTTGCGCTGAGAGTGTTGAAGATAACAACACAAAACGAAAATAAACGAAACCCATAGTTTCGTGCCTTTCTCGCGCTATCTATCCATTTTATTTTCTCTTCCATAATTTTCTCACCCACCACCCATGTCCACTCCCAACGCCGACTCCGGCACGGCGCCGCATCCGCGCCCCACCATCACACTTCCTCCTCGTCCCTCCGCGGAGGCCTTTTTCTCCGCCGCTGGCGGCGCTAGCCCCGGTCCCATGACCCTCGTCTCCAGCTTCTTCGGTTCTGATGCCGCCGCCGACTGTCGCTCCTTCTCCCAGCTTCTTGCTGGCGCCATGGCCTCCCCGATGGCCTTCTCTGCCACCTTGGCCGACAACTCCGGCAACGACGATGATGGGCCCCACAAGGGCTTCAAGCAGAGCAGACCCATGAATTTGGTCATTGCTCGTTCCCCTGTCTTCACTGTTCCACCCGGGTTGAGCCCTTCTGGGTTTCTTAACTCTCCTGGCTTCTTTTCCCCTCAGGTGATTAATTTCATTCGTGATAGCGCTTCCTGAAGGTGGTTGTGAGGATGAATTTCAGAAGGGTTGTGGTGTTTTTGTGAAGATGTGGTTTTTTTGAAAGAAGGGTGTGGGATCGGTTGATGGGTATGGGGAATTGGAGTTTGGTGTTTTTGGGGTTATCAGTGTCTTTGTGGGGAGGTGCTTGTGGACTGTGATTGTAGTATAGTACTCTCCACAGTTCAGATTTGATCTGGATTTTATTACAATTGTATTGTGCCGTGTGTTATGTTTTCAGTGGACTACTTCACTAGTGTCGAAGGATTTCTGGGTTGTGGAGTTGTATGTGTGGATTTTCAGACAAGGGGTGGATTTTTTAGCGCATTCAACTGCGTGAAAAATATTGATTTGGAGTAATACGATTACGAAGTTGGTGTTGTTGGATGGGTTGCTCTAGTGAAGCCAGTGGGATTTAGATCACACTTTTTCAAAATGTCAAAAGTTTTAGAGGTATTGTGTCAAAGTAAAATGGTTTTTGGTTGCATTACCCTGATTCGTCAGTGATAATTCTGATATGGTTTTTTTGGCAATAACCGAAAATGAAGACAAAATTCGTGGCTGAAAAATGCGATCTCCGTGAGTCACTCGACAGTGAAAATAATCGAGATATTTTCGTTGTCCATGTCTATGTTGACTAAGAAACTCAATGATTGGATACATTTGTCTTCTATTAAGGACTGTTTTAGCTTTGCATTCTACTTGTTCATTACTACATGGTAAAGATGTCATAAATGTTGTTGAAGATTCGTTTTTCCCTAAAAAACTTGTCTCTTTTATTTCTGGAATACTGTGCATGGTTATGTATGCATTCTATTACACATTTTGCTGGTCCTGCTGTTGGGATGTTTATTCATCATCATCATCATTATTATTATTTAATGTGATATTTTTGCCTTGGGATGGTGGATATAATACTTGTCGGAGGTTCTCACCATCTCTTCAATTTGATGTATACAGAGCCCCTTTGGGATGTCTCACCAACAGGCTTTAGCACAGGTTACAGCTCAAGCTGTCCTAGCGCAATCTCATATGCACATGCAAGCTGATTACCAGATGCATCCAGTAACTGCCCCTACTGAACCACCTGTACAACAGCCATCTTTTGCTCTAAATGAAGCTTCAGAGCAGAAAATAGTACCATCTGTATCAGAAGCTAAAAATGCTCAACTGGAAACGTCGGATATCTCACAGGCTGATAAGAAATATCAGCTGGCTTCTCAGGCCGTTGACAAGCCTGCAGATGATGGCTACAATTGGCGCAAGTATGGGCAGAAGCAGGTTAAAGGCAGCGAGTATCCAAGGAGCTACTACAAATGTACACATCTGAATTGCCTAGTGAAGAAAAAAGTTGAGCGTGCCCCTGATGGACACATAACTGAAATTATATATAAAGGTCAGCATAACCATGAAAAGCCTCAGGCAAATAGACGTGTCAAGGATAATAGTGATTCAAATGGAAGTGCAATTGTTCAGCCTAAGTCTGAGTCAAACTCACAAGGTTGGGTTGGACAACAAGTAAACAAGTTTAGTGAAAACATTCCTGATTGTTCAGTTCCTGAACGTGACCAGATCTCCAATCAAGGGGCACCTAGGCAACTACTACCTGGGTCAAGTGGGAGCGAGGAAGTGGGTGATGTAGATAATAGGGAAGAGGCGGATGACATTGAGCCAAACCCTAAGAGAAGGCAAGTTTAGTCATGTTGATCCTTTATCATAGAGCTATGCACCTCTATAATTCTTCTCAATATAGGCTAAATTTCTACTTTTCAGGAATACTGATGTTGCGGTTTCTGAAGTACCTCTTTCTCAGAAGACTGTCACAGAACCCAAAATTATTGTGCAAACAAGAAGCGAAGTTGATCTTTTGGATGATGGTTACAGGTGGAGAAAGTATGGTCAGAAAGTGGTGAAGGGAAATCCTCATCCGAGGTGATTCTTTAACTCTTTGCTACAATATATCTTCTAAAAGACTTGTATGTCCATATTTCTCAAAACTTCAGAATGTGTTTAATTCTCAACAGTATATCACATTGGAATTATGTAACTAATTGTATAAAGTTTGATTACCTTAATAGATATGATATTAATCATAGATACAAGAATCCTTGATTAGGTTTTCTGTTTCTTTTGAATTCTACTATAAAAATATCGAAGTCAAATTAATTAGCAAGCAGCGAATTTTTATGGTATAAGGTGAATAAGTGCAACCCGGTTTTAAGAAGTTTAGGTTTGCTTTTGCTTATATGAAATCCAGTCTGTGCTAAGTGTGTATAATGTGTGGTAACTTGTACTGTGAAATGACTTTCTCTATTTGTATATTATGCATTCACTTTAGTTGTTTTTAAATGGGTACTATGTTCCTAAACAAATATAACACAATAGGTATGTCTTTGCAAAACTTCTAAATTTTATGCTAGGGTTATTCGTCTAATATAACAACTTGACTATCAGTGTAATTTCTGAAACTTAATAGGGAGTTTGCATGTGTTTCTCATACCTCAAGGAGGTTAATGTAAAATATATTCACAGACAAATCTGTGTTGATTGATACTACCTCTTTCAAAAATATCATTTTGTTTTGGATTATGAACATCTTAAATAAAGTGTATTTGATAATTTGACAATATTTCCCTTGTACTTCTTGATGTTTTGCTATCATTTCATTCATTGGGAGATCTCAAGAAATAAGGATGAAGTTAGAGAAATTAATAGATATCTTCGTAGTTTCCTAAAGTAACAGATAAAATGAAACGAAATTTCTTCTGTAAGACTACTATTATTTTGAGAAGGAGTATTATCTTTCCGTCTTACTGCTAAATTAACTTCACGTGCTTTTAGTTTTCTTCATATTGTGTACTATAAGTATTCGCTTAGAAATTTGCTTTCGCCTATTCTTGATTTCTGGCTTTTCATTTCTCTGTACAAATGATTTTCTGTGTCGGAATGTCTGCTTCTGCTTCCAGATTTGATTATAGAATTTTATCTGTCAGCTTCTATAAGTAATGTGATTAGGGACTATAACCCCAAATGTTGCGCTTGACAAATTTTTACTGGAAAATTGGGAGAAGCTTGACATTTTATCTCGAGGGTGGCCACTAATAGCCACCAGGAATAAGTATATTATGTTTGTCACTTTTCATATTATTTTCAAGTCTTTCTTTAAATGAATCTAGTTAGTGGTACATTTGATGGGAAATTTGGAATGCAATATGCAACGTATTTTAGTTGTTAATTCAGTTTCTATCCAATTTTTTAAATTTAAAATTAGAGAACTTTGTTGTTTCATCTTATAATTTAATTAAAAAAAAAACTAAATTATCTTGTTACACAAAGAGTTCTATTTATTTTCACATTGTGTGCTCCTTTGATTCTAAAGTGTGTTCACTTTTTTTTTTCTGTACTGTTGTATTTATATTCTTACCTGGGAGAATCTGCTGTGTTTCCCCACCTACATGGATGTTATTGAAACTTTTGCTGTTGTTTCTCTTAGCATTAGTCAGCGATCTGATTATCAGCACCACTTCAACTGTGTGATTAGTCTCTGAATTTCTGTATTCATTATAGCAGTTTTTTTTTACCATGAGATAAATGTAACATCAAGATTCAAGTTTTGTTCCTGTGCCCTCAACCCTCACTGAAATGTATGATGGTCGATAGAAAATGTTTCTTTCTCTTGTTTCCTTGAAGCTAGTGTGTTCTCATCTTTTGATGCATAACTGTTACCCTAGATATACACACTTACTTTTGTCAATATATATGAGGAGACAGTCACTCATTCTTTCAATCTGAATACAATTCGATAACCAGTGTTGTTTATAAGCCTTGAATGTATTATGTTTTGTAGTACTTTTAACTTGTCTGGTACTGAATTTGTATGGGCAGGAGTTATTACAAATGCACAAGTGCAGGATGCAACGTGCGTAAGCATGTTGAGAGAGCTTCAACCGACCCCAAAGCTGTCATAACCACGTACGAGGGTAAGCATAATCATGATGTGCCTGCTGCTAGAAATAGCAGCCACAACACAGCTAATACAAATTCAATGCCATTAAAACCGCACAATGTCGTACCGGAGAAGCACCCTTTGCTTAAAGACATGGATTTTGGAAGCAATGACCAAAGGCCTGTACATTTGCGCTTAAAAGAAGAGCAAATCATAGTATAAAAGTGTGGCGTCATGATTACTCATTCCACCTAAAGTACAGAATGAAGTTGTCTAGAAGATGAAATGGATAATACAAAGGTGTAGTCACTAGTCAGAGTTGGCAATGGTCAGTGCATGTTTATTGTTTTCTATTTTCACTGTATGTAACACCTTTTGTACATCTAAATTATGGAATTGGTTGTATAAGATATCGTTTACAGGTATGAAGATCATTTAAACTAATGTACGAACATTATTATATAATTTATAAAATACTCCTTGTAAGCTGTAAGGCAGTTCTAGAGAGTACAAATAATTGGAATGCTTGTACTGAATTCCTTTTTATATGTTATGGAAGTTTAAAGAATGACTTCGATAACTCCAATCATCTTGAATGGATTTATCTTATTTAGTCGTCCCCACTAAGTGGGACAGTGCTTAGATTTTTTTATTACAACCATGTAAACTGGTTTTGTTAAGATTCCAGCAATGTGGAGTTGTTGAATAATGTTTAACTCATTATTGTTCACAAGAGATAAGTTAAGTTAAATCTAACAAATTTTGTCACTACTTTCAGCTGTCTTGTACTTGATAACACACTGAACTTGTATCTAGGATCTCTGTGACGAAGTCTAGAGAAATTGATGGGATGAAAATAAAAAATTGAATGAAAATAGATGGGACATAAAGTAGAAATTAATGCATATTTGGTAGGTAGGAGATGGAGATAGATGAAAAGAAGTTTGTGTTTGTAAGAAAAGAAAAAATACGGAATATATTGTATTATCTTTCACACACATATTTCTATTTTCTTATTTATATATACACACACGTATTGAATCTCTCTTTCCTCAAGCAGGTTCTTCCTTTTCCTTCCATCGAACATGTTTAACTTATTTTATAAAATTGCCACAATTTAAACTCTTTATGATTATATTCTTATGTAAAATTTTGCATTTTCTCTGAGGGATGTTTTAGCAGGATGAGATTTAGGTTGGAGTGGATAATGTGTAATAGAGAAAGCATAGCTCCAGTTACTACTTTTATTCTGTCTACTTTAGTGTCAGACTTTGCTCCTTGGTGTTACACCTCAAACAATTGTGGATATTGATTTTGTTTTTAAGAGTTAAAAAATTCTTTTCAAACCCATTTTAAATATGGAATTGTTTGATTTTCTTTTAAAGAAAAGTATATCAGTTCTACATAAAAGTGGTTTAATTTAAAGACTTGACTTTAATGATTAATTAATTAAAAAACTAAATTGGAATAAAAATGATTGAAAGGTTGAAATTATATGTTAATCGTAATAAAAGAATGTAAAAAATAATTTGATCTTGAAAAAGAAACAAATTCTTTAGTAGTTTGTTTATTTATATGTAGATATGGCCTCTACATGTTCTTGATAATCTGACAAAAAAGTGTAGAAAGGAAGGGAAGCCCCCATCTGCTGCTACCTTTATTATTTTCTAAAGATGGTCAAAACATTAAAGTTTAGACTTATTTAATTTAACCCATCTTTTTTTTTCTGCTCACTTTACCCGTGTCAAGGAATCTTAGCAACAAGAAATTATTTTAACCACTGAGTAACTTTTAGTAGTTTTTGAACAACAAATAACTTGTATCACTCTGCCAGAATAATATAAATTATATATTCTTCTTTTATCAGCAATTTCTCTCTCTCTCTCTCTCTCTCTCTCTCTCTCT